CCTTTGGAGGAGCTGGTAATGCTTTGGATCTGAACTGTGCATTTAATTAACTTCACTTCTCAAAGCGAACAATTTGCTACTTGAAAAGGCTTTCCCAGGCTAGGTACTCTGAAAAGCCTCTGTTGGAGCTGTAATATTCTAATTCTTGGTGATGCCTGTGGATATTGCTGCTCATAGGCTTGACAGCTGAACTCCAGGGTTTTTTTTCGAAATAAATGTGAATCAGATTTTCTTCTAGTTTTACTTGTTCCAAAAACGATAAGAGAAGGTCTAGTTTGGCATATTCTCTTTATGATCACTTCAGCCTAACTATGACGAAGAGAAATGCCATTATTTTAAGAACATACATGATAACAGTAGTCTGCTTTCTTCAGCCTGTGAAAATGGGTCAGTTTGCAAGTGTCAGCACACAGCCTGTCCTGGCTCTGAGGCCTGCAGCTTTCCAGGGTCACTGCAGTTGCGCCATTTCCTTGAGGGAGTTCCTGGCTGCCCCTGGTGTTTGGGAGTAGCTGCTGGTTGTTCCTGCCTTATCTGATTTGAATGCTCACCCTGGCCTCTTTTGCCTCTCTGAACATGCTATTTCCTTTCCTTTCTGCACTATTTCAACTGAGAAAGTGACCGCTTGCATTTTAGGTGCTAGATGGGAGCATGCTGTGGCATAACACCATGTCTGTGAGGTTTCTTTGCACGTGTGCCAGGTGTGCATCCACTGTATATGTAGAAAGGGCCACAACAGTGTTCTCTCTCAGATTTTCTTCTGAAGCAGAAAAGGAGAGAGGTTCTTCTGTTTTCATATAATTTTAGCAGCATGTGTTCTCTCCTTGCCTTTCAAGACCAAGCAGTTTTTGCTTGTGGAAGAAGCAAGGGACAGGCGTTCCCATTTTAGCCATAAGAATAAGCAACCTATAGTTTCATTTTTTGAAGGTACAGATTTTGTCTAATATCAGCACAATAAAAATATCAAGAAAAAAAAGTCAATGTCAATATACTTTTTTTTTTTTTTTTAGGAGTCGTGGCCAAGCTCACTCCCTGACTGGGGCTTCATTGAAGTAATCAGAGAGAGGTGTTAGCTGACTTCACTGCTGTGAAACATACAGTCACAGCCTGTAGCGTGTGTCATTCATATGGAAGACAGCCATGACCCACGACAAAACCAGAGGTCACTGTGCACATTCACTTCCCGAAGTGAAGATATCTAGGGCTGCTGAAATGTGTTAGGGCGTTCAGGACAGTTCCATGTGAGACTGACAGGAAGGGCTTCAGTAAACCTTCATCATCTGGAGGAGAATTTGGAGGCCAAGTGAGATAATCCTCAGTGCATTAACTGGTTTTAGGTGTACGGTTTTGTTTCCTGTTGCTGTAAATGAGAACCAGCAAGACTGAAAGCAGTGGTGTCAGGTTTGTTGTGACACCAGCCTACGGAAGAAGCCCTCTAGTCCAGTAGGGCTTTTAACTCCAGAAGGGGAATTGTAATGAGGTTGTAACTGATAGCAATTTGATTGCAAGGTCAGCCAGATGTGTAGAATAGTATAACAGAGCTATGTGAGTTACGCTGAAGTATTAATTTTCCAGCTTTTGGAGGCAGCAACCATCTTCATGGTCTTCATTTATAGAGTGGGATCTTGGGATATAAGGATCAGCATCTTGGGATATAAAGGCAGGATTGCAGCTCTTTGATTGCTGCAGTTTTAAAAGTTGTTTTTATTAGTGTCAGTGTGCGTTCTTCAATTCAGAATTTAAGCTCAGTAGGAATGTATGATACAAAAATATCTCAGGCTTATATCAAGGATGGAGCTTTACTTGCCACAAACGTTGTAGTACACATGCCAGAAGATGAACATCAGAAAATGAATCATCTCTGAAACAGTCCCTTAAATCCTCTCTGTTTCCTTTGACTGATGAAGCCATTTTGCTTGTTTGTCAGATGCTCCATAGACACTAAATACCTTTCATCCATCCTCCTTAAGGAATCTCTTCTTATGCCCAAGTTATCATACTCACGTGGATATATTGTGCAAAGTTGCCTAAGGCAGCACATAACCTACTTTGCATGTACCTTGCAGAGAGTATGGCTGACAATTCTGCTGCTTTATTGAGGAGCCACAAGAAGTCTTAACGAATTGCAAGGGCTCAGCAGATCCCACAGATGCATCCAGGAACTGTCACCTGAATACCTGTGATATGGCACTTTCTGAAGGAATCTGAATGTGTCAGGAAAACAGTAGTTCTGAGAAACAGTAATACTTGTGCTTTTCTGCATTTAAACTTCTAAATATTCATTATGTGTGTTGAGAGGCAAATCTGCTAGACTGAGAGCTTTTTAGTAAGCATTTCTTCAAGTGATGGTTTGGATCTCTTGAGAAGCACAAAATGCTCCTTTTAGATGTGGCCTGCTGCTTTAGATGATTGTGTTTGCTATTGTTGCCCAAATACATCTTTTTTAGGTGCACATCTGCTGCTCACAATATTGGAGCAAATTTCTTACTGTCTTGTCCTGTGCTAGCTTGCCACAGTAGTATATCCTTAAAGAATTAATCCTCTCAATAATTGTCAGTCCATGACAGAACTAAGAAAGAAGTCTAAGGTGTATTGCTTGTTGTGTGAGCTTCATGCTGTTTTCCTCAAAAATATTACAGATTCATCTCTGAACAGCTGTGATTTCTAGAAAAGATAAGTTGAGGAAGATGATATTTTCTCAATTACTTTGGAAACCTGAGAGTATGAGAGACAAACAGAAGGTAAACAAATATACTTAGTGAGAGACAGGCCAGAGGATAAATAATCTTAAAGGCACAAACTTAGCCTTCATCTAAAGAGAAAATAAAAGTGTACAGACTAGAATCTGTAGGACTTCTTAATCTCACAATTCTGTTCCTTGCCGCTGTCATGCATTCTGTGTTGAAAATTTGCAATCTTGTCTGCTGTGTAGGTAGTTCTTCAGCAGTGCTGGTGAGGTGTCCTTTATAAGTACACTGCTTTCCTCTATCCTTAACTCAGTGTCCTTACCTCTAGCTGGCAGCCTTCACTCTGGCTCTGCCCTGATTTGGGATTCTCTTCAAAGGGATTTGGAGAGTGACATATCCTGGCTGGAGGAGCAGAGAGGAGGGGGCTCTCTCGAAAGGTTTTATTGTTGAAAACTTGCCTGTTTTTGTGGGAAAGTGTTTAGCACTCAGTTTGGAATAGGTCTTTGAGGAAAAAAAAGGAAAAAAAAAAAAAGAAAAAAGAGGCACCGTGGGTTAAAAAGTAAAGCTGAGCTTTTCATTGTTTCAGCATTTAGTGTAATCCTATCTGGTATCAGGGGTTTTAATGATATCTTTGAGGCTTCCATTTCTTTCCACCACACATATACTAGGAGAACATCTGTTTCTTTGTTAGCTTAACAACACCTCAATCTTCCCAAAGAATTTTTCCCTTGGCAATTTTTAAATTAATTGCACACTGGGTTTTTAATCACAGTTAGGATTAAAATTAAATTATTTTTTATGTTAGTGAGTGTGTAAAACCATCTATGTCTACTAGAGTGACGTTATGTATGTAACGTGATTGCTTACGCAAAGTCTGTGCAAATGTTTTGGAAAATATTATCAATTTTAATTCCTTATGGAACAGTCTTCAACATGACTTGTTCTGGCTAGTCTTCAACACAAACGTAAATATGCTCTCATGTTATTCCCAGTTAAGATGATGGTCTTTGGAAAAACAGGTTTCAGGATCATTTCATGCTTAGAAGTTGGAGTAAGAAAATCTGAATTAAAAACATTTATTGATCTAATCACCAGTATTAAGGCAGTGATTTATCCAACAGGATGGATCTAGAAATCTGCCTGCAACTCAGGTAAACAGAGCTATTGTGAAAGGCCAAAGATCTGGATCGATTCCTGCTTCCCTCATCGTACACATTGTCTCTTGTATTGGAAGTACAGCTTGTTTCTTACAGAGGTGATAACTTTAGAAAAAAATTCTGATGTCATGTTTTATTATCTGGAAACTTAAGAAGTTTCTAATCTGGTGCCTTAATGGGTGTCTCAGGGAATCAACATGAAATTGCAGCCGAAAAGTCCTCAACCTCTGCTCTGCATGACAGCGTCAAATATCTCTGCTTGTGAGAAACTGGATCCTTTGTTTTGCTTTCAATTAGCAGTTAACTGAAATTATTAAAAGTTCCAGAGAAGCCTACCTTTGAGCTAGCTAAGCTAACACTAAGAAACAAGAAGTTGGCCTATGAGCAGATGTCTTTGGCTTTGTTATGCCCATCAGAGAAACAACTGAAAGCCTTAATTTTTCTTTTCATTACTTCTGTTCTGTTGCCCATTGTTAGCTTCCCAGGATCTGCCAGGAGATGCTGGGAGGCAAACCAATCCTTCTCAACTAGTTTTTGTCAAATGAGGTTGGTTGGCAAGGGCTGCCTGTTTGCAGTGAGCACTGCAGCTGAGGATCCAGCTGCCGTGCCATCACTACTATCAATCGACCTCTGGAACTGATGGAAAGGGCTCCTGACTTCCCCAGATCAACCAAACATCCTATTTCTTTGAAACTATCTATGAGGTGGATGTGTGAGCTGCTGGTGCCTAGGTACCTGGAAACATTGTTAATTAGTGGACGTTGCTAGCGTATATGGCTTGATTGGTAATATGCTTAAGGTCGGAAATGTTTGTTGACTTTTGGTTTGACAGCAGTGAACTTGCGTGCTGAAGGTAATACACATGTCAAGGCAAGATTTTGCTCTGTGTATTTTTCTCACTGAGTTTACTGAGTCTAGCTAGCACCATCTGTAAGTGATCATGATTTATTTCAAAATACGTGGCTGTCTGGTATTGTTTAAGTTGTCAGATACTCGTTTTGGTTTGTTTTATGCATTCATTGCATGTAACTTGATACTGTTTTCCTTTCATATTCAGGTACGTGTGGGCATGACTCTTACAGGATAGCTGTGTTAATATGACTGAATTGTATGGTATAAAATGAAATCTCAAATTTTACTTTTGCATTTATTTGTGCAGGTTCGAAAACACGTGAATGACCTCTATGAAGACCTAAGAGATGGACATAACTTAATCTCACTTTTAGAAGTCCTTTCTGGAGACACCCTGGTAAGCTTTTAAATCAGAATGCAGTGGTTTCACTTTGTTATAAATGCATTTACACTGTGAACTCTTTGGATGTTGACTGCTGGAGATGTCTGGTATTTTCAATAATGCGTGACTTGATACCAAAGACACAAGTTATTTTTCTATTGGTAAGATATTCCACCATGAATTCTGTGGGGGAGTGCTCTCTTTTTTCTTCATTTCTTGCAATCAATGAGACTACTTTTCCTAGTAGGGTATTGCACTAATTTTTCTGTTCTTACCTTTTGTTTATAATTTTTCTTTTAACGTGTATCGGATGCTTAATATCCCTTCCCATTAAAGGGAGCAACTTACAAAAAGCAAGGGTAAAATGTCCCTGAAATTGTCTAACACACTCTTCAGATGTCATTTCCTTTCTTTGTGAGCATTACTTTCTTTGCTTGGTATTTGTTCTCTTCATTATGTTCTTCTTTTCATGCTCTTCTTTTCATTTGTGCTCTGTCTTGTGTCTTTGCTGTCCTGTCTCCTGTCTGTTACATTCATTAGCCAAGAGAGCGAGATTTTTTGAAGACCTTACGGTTGGTGAGTTCAACAGAAGCATGCGCGTATGAACAGCATGAGGATGTGGAGGATGAGGATAAGGGGGTAGGTGCCGACCCCCATAACTGTACTAACGTAGTGTTTGAAGTGTGGTGTCTCCTGCAGTCAGTCAATTCTTAGTTTGGTGTCCTGCAGTAATTCCACAGAAAGTACAAAGAACTCGTATGGTAAATCAGGTTATGCTCATAAAGTAAAGTAGGAATGGTAAAGAGAAATTATTTGGCCTTTTTTATGAGCAGCCAAGGTGTAAAAGTTTGAGAAATCTCTAAAATTTTACTTTTGATAAACTGTATAAAGCTAGGGTGCAAATGTGTAGTGGATGTTATCAATGCGTTACAAGACAAACTTCTATTTGTATTTTTTTTTTTTTTTAATTAGGTAATTAATAATTCTGTTAAACCAATATTTTTTACTTACAATCAGTATTTCCGATATGGAAGTAATTCAAAGGCTTGAAGGCTTTCCTTGCTGAAATAATTTGCAAAAAATTAATTTGACTTAATTAGAAGCACTGGTTTACCTCACCCATGGTGTATTTGGCATTGACATTGAATAATATTTTGACATGAGGTAATTTAGAAGTGCAGATCTATTTCTCAGAACGTATCAAATGTAATGGTTATTTTTTCAAAGCAGATGGTCAAAGTGGAGGTTACATGGCAACTCTGTGTGGTGCTTTGGCTACCAAATGTGTGGATTGTTTATCTTTTTGGCAACTGATGCTGAATTATCCTTTTGCTGTACTTTAACCATCCAGAAGGGAAATATCTACCAATAAAACGTAAAATGCTGAGTGCTTGCTAGCCAAAGAAGCTGCTCCATGCTTTTGTAGAACCTGCATTATTAGTGTTTGCTAAAGCAGCTTGTTGTCATAGGGCCCAATTATGTTCTTGGCTCCATGTGTGTTGTGCTATAGTTGTGATTTCAGTGGAATATGTGCTTTTTCCTGGAGGCATAACATTACTCAAAATGCTGCATTTCAGCTGTACATTGAAAACATAATATTTCCCCTCTGAGATCCTCTACCTTTATTTTGTGATAGTTTGGATTTATTTTACTGTCTTTGTTTTGGAAAATGAAGTTCCAGATCTGCAATCCTTCGTTCCATCCTTTGAAGTTTTTCAGTAGCGAGGGCTGCAGGGATTGATCCTGAGCTCTCAGCATGAAAAAGAAGGAGCTAAATCGAAGGTTCTATAGTGGAAATTAAAGTTCTTTGTGTTTCAATTTATGCTTCTTATTCAACTCATTTTCCCATATTTTGCTTTGGAAAGCATCTGATACTCCACAGGGGAAAAAAAATGTGAACCAAGAAAGGCTTGGGCATATGTTTGTATTTCATGGTGTCTGAGGAAGTCATTCATATTCATGGCTGAGCCCTAGCAATTATAGTATGCTTCAGTTTATTGCGTGAAAGTTTGTGAAAAATCTGAAATAAGGAAGAAGAACATAAAGGATTTGGACATTGTGATAATGATAAAAATTTAACCCATTCTTGATCTCTGACAGCTAAGTATTCTTTTTCTGTGTGATTCTTCTTCTTGGTGATTTTACACTAACTGCATGCAGTTCTGCCGTGCTTCCATTAACACACTGCTCATTTCACAGATTCTTGCTTGGATGATTTTGATTTGAGAAAAGTCACTAGCCTTTTTTTCCATGCTTTATAATGTTTAGCTCAAGTCGAGAGTTAAATTTGCACTCTAGGGCTGTGTATTTTGTATTGTATATTTTGGGGGGAAAATATTATCGTTATTAGGTGTTTTAAAATAAAGATGTATTACTGTTATAATGATAATGCAGTCAAATCATAAATAGATAAACAATGTTGAAGTCATAACATTGCATACAGAGGTAAGCTTTCTGTCAGAGAGTTTGCCAGAACTACATAAAGGCCCATGACATTACTTCTATTTTTCTTTGCTTAATAGACTGTAAATCTTTTGTAATAATATACTGCAATGTGGTTTCTATAGCCAGGATCATGTGGGGCCTTTTTTAGCCCTCTCAGACTAAGTACTTTGCAGGGAAACAGCCATCTGCCAGCATGGATCAAAGTTGCAGTTTGGGACACTGATTTCTCTTTCCATCCATTGTATTAAAAAAATGTAGTTGCACTTCAAAAAATATAAAAATTGTTAAAGCACTCTTTTCCACCAAAGGCACTGAGTATTGGCTTTGTTAAAAGTGTGGAGCTTAGAATATTTTACATGGTATTTTAAAAATCAGACTGTTCTTTTGTCTGACAGGGAAATCTCACAATCGTTGTTTTCCAATTTTAGCCCCGAGAAAAAGGTCGGATGCGTTTTCACAGACTCCAGAACGTCCAAATTGCACTTGACTATTTGAAAAAGCGCCAGGTATGGTGAAATGTTTAATAAAAAATGTTAACAAAAATTGCATAACCAGGAACTAATAAATAATTAAAAAAAAAAAGTCCTGCTTTGTCTTTTGTGCATTTTGTATAACATCTGCTGGTGTACAGCTTCAGCTCGTGCTTGTCATGATGAAGAAGGTTTTGGCAGATGTAACCTTACACCAACCTTTTCTGAGCAATAACAGCAACACGATTCATGTGGCATAGAATGTTAAAGAGGAGAAAATTATGGGGAACTACTTATAGCAGATTTAAAAATCTCCCAAGCTGTCCAAACACCAGCTGCTATGCTGTTTTTTTTCCACAAAATTATTTTTAGTGAAAAATGGAGATTTAAGGAAATTATAATTGTATGGGGATTACTTGTTTTCATTATATTTGTCTTAGAAAAATTTCAAGCCTTGCTCCTGGCAAAGCCCAAACTTGTGCCCTAGAGTGTCAGCAGTCATCTGGGCTGTGGAAGGTTCAGGTTTAATTTCACCTTTAAATCAAACACTTAAAAACTGCACTTCTGGGTGGTTTTCCACTGTTGTGGAATGAGTTTATATCCACTTTTAACTTTCTCCTAGAAATTTAGAGTTCTTGCTGCTAAGTAAAAATGAGTGGCTACTTGAACTGACAATTACAGTGGCATTTTTAGGCAAGAAGGCCTCTGGATTTGTGCTGCACCATGTCTTATTTCTGTATGACAGACCTTACTTACAGTAACAGGGCATGTAGAATCAGATCATCTTTTTTTCTTCCAGAGAGAATAGTGGAGTTTTTTGCGTTGTTTTGTTTATTTGTGTGTTTTTTCCTAATAGGTAAGATTATATCTGCAGAGCAAGAATGGAATGCCTTATCTTGTTTTGTGTTGATAACAGGGTATATGTACAAAAGCATGTGCGTGTAACTTTACTAGCATAAGCATAAAATATATTTTATCTGAATAACTATTAATTGCTAGGCTACTTGGACAGATAAGACAGAAAAAATGGAAGCATAAATTATAACAAAGTAGAATTTCTATCTGTACTCTAAAAGTGAATTTATTGGAGTGGAAAAAATATCAGACTTTGTTTCAACCGTACTTTTTCATGTTCACCACATTCTGAATGAATAAAACAGCAGAAGTTATAATAATCTTGGTCACTGTGATGTCATTTGTTTGAATTTGATAACAAATTTTTGGTCTTATCAAGCCAGCTCGTTGTGTTTAAACAGGCCAATTCTCCTGTCCCTTTATCTTTGATACAGGAGAGCGTGGAGAAAGCCAGTGGTAGCTTCCTGAATTTCAGCATTGCCCTGAGTCTGATACAGTTAGTAGTTATAGATCAGCATGTTCTTGTTATCCTCTCCCTGTCTGTCATACTTTCCTCCATTGACACAGACTGAGATGAAGGGTATTTGGCACAGGGAGCAGATTTGTCATTGCATTGACAGCTGAGGAATCTCCTCAAGTCGGTGTGGGTGGGAGAGGGCGATTCCTGGCAGACCACAGGCAGCTAGAATTTTATTCCTTCCAGCTTTTGGGAAAATAATGTATTAGGATCAGGAAGTGAGTAATGCTTCATTTATAGTCACGCTTCTGTAGTGCACTGTGTATTTTTTGGCATATTTATTTCAATTCTGTGTGTGTTTTCTTCCCACATGGCAGGTGAAACTGGTTAACATTAGGAATGATGACATAACAGATGGGAATCCCAAGTTGACTTTGGGGTTGATATGGACCATAATTTTGCACTTTCAGGTAAGCCTAGTTTTACTTAGCAATTTCTTTTCGTTCAGATTCCCACATACATTTGTGATGAATGGGTCAACTTTGGATCTCAAGACATCCTGTGCAAGTCTGCATTATGTCTCTAATGTGTGTTTGAAGGTTTTAATAACTCCTTTCTGATCATGTAAACTAAATCTAAAGGTGTAGTTTTTGTCTAATCTCATCTTTAAATTTTTGCAAATTGCTTGGTTTTTGAATGTTATTAAAGGCAATGTTTGTGTTCCTTAAGCACTTGGATAAATAGGCCTTGATTTATTCTAAAGACTTCTTTTGTTGAATATTAAAATAAATTTTGAAGAGTTAACTCTTGCTTTGTTCTAAAACTGAATTTCTCTGCTGATAAGAGTATTGTAGCAAGCACTGCTTTAAGCAGTTTTGAGCAGTTGGTAACACTTCAGCATTTGTTTTTAGTACAATAAACATGAAGGTACTGTGGGGTCACACTAGGTGGCACTCTGATTGTGGTACACTGTACACTGATTGTGTACAGCTGATTGTGTACAGTATAATGCAGCCTTACAGTGTGTGGTGTTAAATTGCTCCTCAAAATGAGGCCTTCACAATGACTGTGGCTGCAGATGATGTAATTCAGATGACAGATAATTCCCATTTACTGACTGCAGCATTGTTAGCCATAGAGTTGGTGTTGTGGGGGCATTTGAAATGACTGGAAAATTAGAAGATTACACAAAAAAGCACAGTTCACTTAAGAATATCCTCCAGTGGATTTATAATTGGGAAAAAAAACCCCGCAACTTTTTCATTTTTTAAAAAAGCTCCTAGGGCATTGTTTGCATTCTTGTGAGTTGTAAGGAGGAACAAAAGACCCAAATAGAGCCCATGTCGCTATGGTCTAACCAGAGCAGTCAGCCCATTCACAGCCAGTGCTCCTGGTCAAGGAGAACCCACAGACTTCTTGCCATTGGTGAGGCTCTGAAGGTCCCTCAGCTTTCATCTCAATCTTTGCTTCCACACGGTTATATGGAGGAAGAAGGCTGGGCTTAAGCTATTTGAGCATGACCCACAGAACAGACAATGAATATTGTTGTGTTTTAAGAAATAAAAACTCCTGTTACTTTGATAGAAGCAGATAGCAGTGATTAAACTTGTAATCAGTATGTGTTTTATATTTCTGAACCTCATTAATAGATTTTTGCAAGATTTTTTTAGCTTTTTTTCCTATCCAGAGCACAGGACATCTGGTACAATTTTGAGTGGTTATAAAATGTGAGGAAAGCTAACATTAATATAATTTCAACCTGTAAAAAAAAAAAAAAAGAGAGAGAGAGAAACATAAAATGACTCATTTAGGTAAGCTGGTGTTACAAGGTTTTTCCACTGTAAGGTAGCCAGCTCCATGTGAATGAAGTACATAGGAACATTTAAATTGTAGCTGAAACACTTACTTCGCTTCATCCTGAACTCCAGTAACTGCCATGTAAATCTCTACCAGTGCAATTCAGTCTCATAAATCTGTCAGCTTTCATTTTTTTTCAAAATAATTTGTTAAAAAAATCTGCTTAAACATTTTTCAGAATGAGTAGAAGTACTTAGACTGAATATTAAATCACTCTAATACATACGAAGTAACTGAATAGAAGGATTTTTTTGTGAATTATTTTCTAGCTTTTCAATATTAATGGCTACAGAATACACCCTGTATGCAGAAGGGATTCATACCATTATAAATGCTCTGTGCTAATCTGTTCAACCTTGGCATTTGCCTGCACAGCACTTCTTTTGAAGAATCTGGTACTTTGTTGTCATTGATGCCTCATATGATAGATGCAGGTTCAGAATACATAAGGAAATTCCTAAGAATGTGTTTAGAATGTACATTCCTAAGAATGTATTTTCTAGTCTTCACATTAGATTTTGAATGAGGAAAAAATTTGACTTGAAAAGGCTAATAGAGATGAAGTGTCATGACAATAAGTGCTTATGTATGGAGTCATTCTGTATCTAAGTTGGGACAGCTGTGGTGAGATTCAACTTGAAGTTAAGACACCCAAATCCAGCTGCATGTCCTTATGAACTGTGTCTGAATTATTGCTATAATCTGATAATCTGGTTTAGTCTGTACAGTTGATGTAGCCTGGAGTCATTCATCTAGCCAGCTTCTAAAGGCTCACTCCATCTGACTAAACATAATGTTCATGTTCTAGATTTATGAAATGCCCACGTAAGTATTAAAAAGATGACATAGGTTTTATAAAAAACCCACTGTCATTTGAGAATAATCTGAGATTGGACAAGAGAAACTGCATCTAAAATGGCAATAAACGTGTTTAGAAGCAGATTTGAGACCTAGAGGTTTTTTACTACAGTGAGTGGAGCATGGTGGATCAATTCAGATGGCTTATCCTAGGTTCTGCATTTGCAGAACAATTCAGTTGCCTGTTGCAGACTCTTACTGTGATCTGAAATGATGCATCATATCATCTGGGCTACCCTTGCAGCAGCCTGGAAAGCCAACCATATTATGGGCTGCATCAAAATAAACAAGGTCAGCAGGTCAAGGGAAGTGATCCTGTCCCTCTACTGTGTGCTGGTGGGAGCTCACCTGGAGTACTGTGTCCAGATGTGGAGTCCTCAGTACAGGAGGGATGTGGAGCACACCAAGAGGAGAGCCACAGAAGTGATCCAAGGGATAGAATGCCTCTCCTGTGAGGACAGGCTGAGAGAGGTGGGGCTGTTAAGCCTGGAAAAGAAGGTACTCCAGGGAAACCTTACAGTGGCCTGTCCAGTTCCCAAAGGGGGCCTACAGGAAAGGTAGGGAGGGGCTTTTTAAAAGGGCAGGTAGCGACAGGACAAGGGAAATGGCTTTAAACTGGAAGACAGTAGATTTAGACTAGATGTTAGAAAGAAATTACTTACTGTGAGAGTGGTAAAGTGTGAGAGAGACACTGGAATGGATTGCCCAGTGAGGCTGTGGATGCCCCCTCCCTGGAGGCATTCAAGGCCAGGCTGGATGGAGTTTTGAGCAACTTGGTCTAGAGGGAGGTGTCCCAACCCAAACTATTCCACAGTTCTCTGTTACAGTATTGTTTATAATTCTATCCTATGTGTATATATATTCAAATTAATATTTGAATGGATGTCTTCTTAAACGCCCAATGCCTTTTCACTGGTGATACTGAAGATGAGCAGCTATACATAAAGGTCCAGATTTTGTGCCTCAGAAAGATACAGTATTTTTAGTAGGATAATTTCTGTGAAAATCAGTGATCGGTGAAAGAAAAATGATTCTTTTCAACCCACTGAAAACATCTTTAATTTCACAATTTTTTTTTTTTTTTTAGAATAACCTGTCATAGTTTAAAAACAACACTAAGAAAATACTGAAACTTTAACTTTTGAGCGTCCAAAATTCAAGGCCTTTAAAAACTTGGAACTTACAAGTCACGACTCAGTAAATTTATTTACTTATTTTTATTACTGTTTCATTATCATTTTGCAGTTCAGTAATTCCTGTGAAATGCTTTTTCTTCCACTTTACCCAACTCTATGCTATGGGGTCAGAAGGCTACTTTTTAAGGCTGCACTTGGTAGTGTTTTTGTCCAGACATTATCATGCCGTCCAGCTCCCACTTGGAGGATTTGTGCTCTTTCTCTCAGGCCTCTCCAGGGCATGTGTTACCTCTTAACATTTCTCACGTCAGCCAGCAAATATTTATTTCATTGTTGGTTCCATGTGACCCTGAAGCAAAATTCATTCTTTATCTGTCTGCCACAAGGCAGTCCTCAGACTGTTCATTTCAGCTAGCAGATCAGCAGTGAAATGTTTAAGAATGTTGGGGGAAAAAGGCAAGAAAGCTGGATTTATTTGTAAGTAACTTGGGTGAGATAGGTGACAGCTATCCAGCCTTTTCTAAAGTTCCTGATACCCCTTACCATGCTCAGGTGTTCAGAGGCTGCTGTGCAGTTAATATTATTTCAAAACACTCTTGTGTTGATTGTGAAGGCTTTGGCCTTCAAGTGGGGTCTGCAAAGTGACCAGAAGAAGAGACAGGTGAGAGGTTGTAGCCCATTCCAAAGCAGAGGAGTGATGGGATATTCTAGGATTTCTGCATCTTCCTGTTTCAGTTACTCTGCTATTAACTGTGCGATAACAGTTACCGCATGAGAGATGCTGCCTATTTTTCACATTGCCATCACAGGAATCGAAATTGAGATCTGAGTCTGGCCTTCCCTTGCTGCCACGTATTTCTTGTCTACCAGAAGCAGTTGAAGCTGACCTCTGGACCTTGTCCTACATGTGGGTCTTGGATCCCAAAGACTGAAGTTTAATCTGCCTCCACTTGAAAGTAGCCAGACCAATTCAGGTCTGATCTTCTCAAAGGTTTAAAGGTGAAGCCATATAGCCAAGTGTTTAATCTCTGACTGTCAGTGGTTGGAGGATAAACTGGATTCCACTCAGGAACTGTGATTCCCAGTGGCAGACTTATCACTCAATATTTGCTATACTACATTTTTCCTGTGTTTTATTCATGAGCTGATCTCTCAGTTTTCTCTTCCAGACCTCTTTGTCATTTTAGGAGAATTACTAAATGTCAGCAAGAAAATGAGCATAGAGTTCTGGGAGTTTCTGGGATTCATCTGAATCAACAAAGATGAGAGGCATTAAAACTTATTGCAGAATCATATGTAGACTTTATACCTAAGGATTGCAGGCTATCTGTAGCAGGATAAGAGTTAGTAGTTAGCTCATCCAGTCAATTCTGTTTAATCCCTTAAAACCACCAACAAGGAACAGATTCCTCTTTCACTTTGTTAAAGAGTCATCTCACTGGATATAAAACCTCTCTCCTGACAGATCTGCTGTTCAGGGTATGACTTCTGGTATCGCAGTTGTACCTGGAAGCTGAACAGCTCTTTCACATTTTTAGCAGTGTTGGGTTGTACAGCTCAAACAGATCTGAACGTAACCTTTTGCTTATGCTGGGCAGCCTTTACTTCTTGGCTTGTTCTCTATCTTTTGCTGTTTAAATTTTCACTTTCTTTTTGATTTGTGATTTATGTTTGTCTCTCTGTCATTCTTCATGTGACCTTTGGGCTGTGCAGTGCTATGCTTTCTGGTTATCTGGTATGCTGTTTTGACATACACCGTTTATGTTAAATGCTCCACTGCTTTTACTGTGTTGTATTTAGGGGAAAAAAAAAACACCTTAGATCTGAAACTAGCAGAAGTGCATTCCTAGTAGACTTTTCACTATGTTACTCCAGGATGAAAGACATGAGGCTGTGTTTGGCAGAGTAGAATAAATTTTCCTTAACAACATCTGCTATCTATATTAATGAATGGTAGAGTGTAAAGTAATAGTCAACCAAGGATAGCTGGCCTCAGCTTTTTGCATACTATGAAATGCAAATTTTCAACAGCTTTGCCACTTTAATGTGATAGATCTGTTCAATGTTAAGAACTTTTCGCACATTTGATTAATTACAGAAATCTGTGGTTTAAATGCAAGCATAACATATAAATCTTCATGAGCTGTTTCATGTCTTGATGTTTGTTTGCCATGTCTTAATATTTACCTCTTGTCTGTGATTAAGCAGCCTCTAAGACAGATCAAATTGCAGGCAGGTGTTGCTCTAATCCTTTATTCATGTTATACTACTTAAGGGTTTATGTGCCAGAAAAAGTCTTAGTAATCTCCCTTTAAGACTTCTGGCATTGGTGAGTATGTGTGGAGATCTTTGGATATTTCTTTAATAAAAGCAAGACAGTAAAACAAAGCAAAACAAAAAGCCAGCAAACCATGACAGTATTTTTAACACCTTTGCTCATCTGAATTTTTGACTTCAGCCAAGGTTGAACATCCATTGGGGTCTAACCAGATGTGTGCAACAAAGCCCCTGGGGCTGTCAGCATCCTACCTGAACTTTGTGTTTATTTGCTCTAGCAGACAGGTTTAAGAAGAAATTTCAGTTTCTCTTTTCCAAGTCTCCAGTTTAACAACCCTGTTTTCTCCGTCTCTTTATTGTATGACTTCATAGAATGTCTGTAACTACAAGTAGTCATTTTGTCTTCAGTTATTTGCACTTCTGCTTGTCGTATTCTCTGAACACTGAATATGATTTTTCATAAATTAAAGCCATAATCAAAAAATGATGCCTGATGTAAATGCGGTTTGTCAGTTCTTTTTCTACTTGATCTTTTCTTTGGTTCAGGGGTGTAAATAAGGGATCATAAAGTTACTTTTTAGTTCACAAAATGCAAGGAATAATAGAATTGTTAAGAGAGCTGATAGCCTTACTCAGGAACTGGTAAGTATTGTTAAATTGTATTAAAAATACATGTTTCTTGCCTTTTCCTGGGAGATGTGCAAATAGAACTACAATCTGTACAGATGTATCTGGAATGGAATGCATTTATTCCTAGCTAATTCTGCTGCAGATATACCAGCTGCTTTCGTCTATAATGACCTGGAATATGTAGCAGTAAGCCAAGATTGTTGGAAGCAGTGAGCCTTTAACCAGTGTTTCCAAACTGATTTTTATGTTTTTGCTGCCATTCACACTTCAGAGATGTCTGATTTTCTGTTTTTATGATAAATTTATCGTTATTATACAAGAAACATTATCTGTGTGAAATGAAATCAGTCTCGGTCTTTTTCAAAGCAAAGTCTTGAATCTTCTGATGGTAGAGGAGAAGGAGAGGTATATATACTTTCAAGCATCAAGGCCATTTATTTGCACAAACATGACTCCCTTCACATGAATTATATTTTGATTTTTCTGACGTACTTTTCTATTAGTTAAGGAGGACCAAATCAGCGCTAAACTCAGTGCCATGGGGTCTGAAATCTGTTTGAAATGCAGGTCGTGGCAGGAAGGCAGTTTTCCAAGCTGACCAGAGTACAGCTTTTACTGTGAGTAAAGGGAGCAAATGTCACAGCCACACCTTTATGTTAAGTAAATCACAAGTGCAAATACAAATCAAGGCCATGAAAGAGAATGCAGTCATAACATCTACTTTGTCAACATGTGGCTTCCACTCTAGCAGATTATCCTGTAAGCCTTATTCTGTAACAGCTTTCTAGTCCATTAGTATTACAGTATAAAATGCTCTGAGGAAATTTCACCCCAGTGCTTTAACAATAATTAGAAATGAACATCTCTCTTGTAGGAAATTAACTGTATGCAGACAGTACTTCATTCTGGATCCCATCAATAAAAAAGCATGTTTTGGTGAAACTTTTCCCTGGGAAAACTTTTCCCTGCAGATCCTATTAAAATATACTGGGAAAGCACAGTGGCAATGCCTGATGATGCTTAGCAAGTTACTTGGCAGCTCTTTGTGAGAAACCATACACATCTAGCCCTGCTGTTGCTATTAGTAGATTTTGTGTATTGGTAACAAAAAAAAAAAAAAGAAGCAGAAGCTATTTTTCCAAACTACGTTGGTGGGTACATGTGCTTTCATTTTAGTTTGTCAATAGTTTGTGTCTATCTAGCTTTCATAAATGTGCTGCTTGTTTCTTGGCTATTGTTTTTAGAGTGACACAGGCATGTTTACAGAAAAGCAATATGAGAGAAGAAAAAGGCTTGATTTTAAAAACATCAGAAGAGTTTAATTTGAGCATATTAGAGGCATAAAAACTTCTTTTTTTGCAGACAGTATTCTAGACAGACTCTTTTAGCCTCACCTTTCTCTGCCAGAAGTTTTAAATCTGCTGCAATGTTCCAGCCCTGAGCACACAGCACCACTGTTCTAAAGTTGTATGATAGTCGTGAAGCAGCAGGTTATTTATAGCTGACAAACCAGTAAAAATCACATAAGCTGCTATGAAAAATTCTGCATACAACACACTGCCAAAGCAATCTCTAATCATTCATTTTAATCTTCCTTTCTATGGATCATTGGATACATGTTAGAAGCATAGGCAGTGAACAAGTAATTTGCTAACTAAATCACTCCAGCTATTTGCTGTAGTGCTTGCTTTCGGATTTGGACTGGAGCTAATAGTTTCAAAGGTTACTGCATATTTTTCTACTTTATCTTGCTTGAGTTACCGAAGGAAACAGGAAGTTTAATGTATGCAAGATTTTTCTATTGCCCATAAGTGCTATGTCATCTCTGTGAAAGGCCATCAGCCTTCCAGCCTAATGCTGCTGCGGTGATGTTTATTTAAGAGGATTGGTGGCCAGAAATAAGCCACAGTGTCTAATCAGACACAGGCCCTGCCTGGGCACCCTGCCACAACATTTATTGCGTGTGCATTTCTCATAAGCAAAATGGCTACGTACTGAGGAGGATGGAAGGGAAGTCTGGAAGGAATTACGGTGCAAACTGCAGTTCTTAACTTTCTGAGGAGGATTTAAGTGTATGTAAATATACCGAAATGAATGAGGCTGTGTGACTGTGAGTTCCTGAAAGCCAAATGGGGAATGTCTGTGGATGCGTAAGGGCTGAAAAGGAAGAACAGTGTTTAGATCCTGCCAAAGCTCCCTTAAGTCCAGCTAAACATTCCCCTGGAAGAAAATATTTCAGAAGAAAATCAAGAAAGAAATCAGCTGACGAGAGACCAGATTCCTTACCAGCTAAAGAAAATGAAGAAAAAAGCCAATATGAAGTGGGAATTTCAGAAAACATCGAAGTTCTCCCGAAGGGTATGGAATTGGCTTGTTCCTCCCTACAGAGTGTAACAGTGGATGGTGATGCTCTGCCCAGGAGTACAGACCTTTCGGCTGATCTTGTTAAAGCAGAAGTTTTACTGAGTGAAGCCAACAGTGATTCTCGCTGTCGGGACAGTTTTCCCGGTGATAAGCAAAGGCTCACCGAGTCTGCTGAAACAGAGGCATGGTTAAATGAACAAGATAACAGGAGTTCAGAGAAAATCTATACGTGGAAGAGGAAATATTCAGATGAATACAACACAAGAGAATTAGCATTTCAGACGAGAGCAAGTGGTCTTTGTTATGGAAAAGCTGCTAGCTTGGATTCTGCTGTCCACCTTTTAGGGAAACAACACAAAGAAACTGGATTAAACAAAACTTATGGCAGAGTTGTTGAAGACTCTTTAGAAAGCAATAAATCTGAAAAGTTGCATCAGTTGCTTTCTAAGAGAAAAAGTTATCCACCGCTTGAACAAAAGGGATTTTATTCTTCTGATGATGTGTTTTCCCATTTGTCAAATGAAAAAGCAGTCTATAGCATTCCACCAAACAGGAGCAAGGTAAGTATTTCGGCACAGTTACTTTGCAATTTATCTCAAAATAAATATTGAAGCAGTATTTTTTCTGTGTTTGTCTGAAGGCAAAAATGCCTTCAGTGTGCTGTATGCAGATTGTTAACGCATGCTGTGATGCTGCAGTAGTCAGTCATAGGACAGTATGTATTACTTGATCTTTTTCGTAAGTACACCTTTGTACTTCAGGAATATTGATCTATCTGTATGCTGTTTTGCTACCTGTGGTTTGATTTCTTTCCTAATTTTGTAAAAAGATTCTGATGTTAAAATTCTGGGAATTAGAGTGAGTTTTAGGAAGTTGTTTTTCTTCGCATTTAATATCTGTCATCTTGTTATTCCTTTTTAGTCTTGTATCAGATAGAAAGGAATATTTCTAATTCTTTTTTAAAATGGCCAATAGCTACTGAGGAATGATAGAAAGAAATAAGGAGCTTGGCATTGAAAAAGTGGACATAAATCATGTTAATAATGCTCTGCACTTTTAAAAGATCTTTCTTCCAAAACTATGTGCTCTATTAATTACTTAAAAACTATTTTCCTCTCAGGATAGGATTTATTTTTGCTTTACAATAAATCCAAGGTGCGAGGTTAGTTGCAGAGTATCTGAAGGAAGACAGTTTTTTGTTGTTGTCAGTATTCATGCTTACCAGTACAATCCATATTACTGATCCCACCCAACTCATCTTTAGTAGGACTGAAATCTGTCAGTGCGGGTGAAATGCCAGTAGAAGGATATGGTCCAAAACTAATTTCCCTTGCTGTATGGGGATATCTGAGCTTTGAGTTTCAGAGAGAATGGGCATATGGACAAAGGTACTCTTTCCAGCAGTAAGTTAACTGCAGCTGTACTGCTTATTTATTTTTGAAACATGATACAAATTATACTTTTTCGAAGCTTAGATTTTAAGTGCAGATAATGCACTCAATTACAATACAGAGTACACAGTTGTACAAATAGCCTCCTATACATGCGGAGATCTTTGCCCTCTTAAGCTTGACTGGAATTCAGGAACAGCTTAGGGATGTTCTTTGATTTGAACAAAAAGTCATTACTGAGTAGAAGAGTATGAGAGCTTGTCTGCTCAGCCAAGCATGACCACTTTTTCCAGTATGATCAGAGTAATACAAGTTTGTATTTGCCACAATTGTTACTACAGCCAGGCAGATACCCTCCTTACCATAGGGGAAAGGGGAAAAAGAGATTCCTGTTGAGCACCTATATTAACATTGAGGTGGTGATAGTGATAAAACTCATCCCAATTATATGAACGTGAAAACTACTAACAGATTAGGCTAAATGCACAAGCTGCTGAAATGTCTGATTTTCAGTTTAGTTCACTTATTCCACCCAAGATTTTGAGGATAAATGATCTTACATCACGTAGCTTTGACCTGAAAACAAACCAAGGGGGAAAACTAGATTTCAGGCTCTAGCTTAGTTTGCAGAGTCATAAACATTTTTCTTTTGCTGACTTTTGAGAATGAAACAGATATTTGAATAGTTTTCATTTTAGTATAAAACGATAAAGCTGTTTCTAATACAAATCCACAAGGTTCCTGATGCCAGGCTGAACTGGTATACAAGATTTGCAGTTAAAAATCTCATTTTTTACCATTTTGTTTTTATAATTACAGAGATCAGTGGCATCCATTCACCATGTCAGCTTAGTCAATCTGTAATGTATTTTCAGCTCATACGGTGCTGAAGATGAAGCTGAAGGTTGTTGGCTTTTTATACAAAGAGACATACACCAGAGGAAAGTGATGGGTATAGACAGCTAATTTGCACTGTAACAGGAGTACAACATTTTATCCTCTGAAATAGCATGGCAACGACTACAGGATAATGAATGTGTCCTTTGAGTCTCTTTCTGTGACACATTAATTTTTCTTTTCTTCTTATGCACATGACACAAATATTTTGTGATCAGATATGTTCTATTACACTGACTCTGTTTTCCCGTTTGCAAAACTCAAATTACTGGAATATTATTTTCATTCTTAACAATCACTGAGAAAAAGTTTGCCTTGGCCTCATTTCTACAGCCCCTTTTCTTGGTTCTGGAGGTTGACTTCCATGAACAAAGTGTATTCTGATACTGTTCTGGCTTACGGCTCTCCTCGAGCAGATGGCAGCACTAAGGTCAAGAAGCTGTGACTCAAGACTGAAACAGGCTTCCTACAGCAACACTCAATGATGTTTTAGCAAATTGCAGGTAAAATAGAAAATCAAGTCTCTAGATTTGGCTTCTCTACAGAGGATACTGCCATTGTGTCGAAATGAGAAGTAATTTTCAATAAGTATCATCAAAAGGTAGCTACTAGCTGATTTTACCACTAGTTTTTGATGGTTGTCAACTTATGTAGAAGCCAATGACTTCTCTATACCACAGTTTCGACCATTATTATTGAAGTTTAATCTGTGGTATTTTCACTAGTGGTTTATGGATATGATTTTATTCCAGAAAAAGTATGGCTAAACTAATATAGAAACAGAATTATTCATCTACTTACACACCTCAAATGTTGCCCCGGCCGTAAGCTCCTAGATGACTTTTTATCATCTACATAGTGTCTAATACTGTAAATTTATTTGCAGAATTAATGATAACCTGCAAAAAGAAACAAATTAAGCTCAAACACCAAAACCAAATGTGTATTTGAATCATGTTAGAAGCAATATGCTTCGCTTTTTAATAAAAAAAGTTATTTGTATAACCAGCTCATTCAGTAGAATACTTCTTGCTAAGAAGTCATCTGTTTATTATTTCAGATATAACTTCAAATAGTTGTAAGATAACAAGATATTTTCCAACATGTCTGCTATCTTATAATCTTGTGCAATTTATTCATGTAGCACAGCTAGGGGAGGGAGAGTTGTAAGTTGTTCTTCAGGAACATGATCTGCAGACCAAGTCATGAATTCTGCTTTATTAGCATTGCTTGCTTTCTCATAAAACACAAAGCAGATGCAATCCTACTTCTTTAATGCTGGTATTTGGAGAAAATTTATAATATATTTATAACTCTAACTTGACCCAGCAGTCCAGATGAGGCCTCACCAAGCTGAGTGAAGGGAGACAATCACCTACCTCTACTGGCCGAACTCTTTCCGGGATAACACTGGCCTTCTTGACTTCAAGGGCACACTGCTGGCTCACGTCCAACCTGTTGTCCACAGGGACGCTCAGGTCCTGCTCTGCAGAGCTCCTTTTTAGCAGATCAGCCTCCAGCCTGTCCTGGTGCATGGGGTTATTCCTCCTCAGATGCAGAACACTGCAAATGCCTTTGTTGAATTTCAAGAGGTTCCACTTTGCACATCTCTCTAGCCAGTTGAAATCCTTCTGAATGGCAGCAAGTAGCTGTAGAGTATCAGCTTTTACTCCCACTTCGAATCATCAGCAAACTTGCTGAGAGTTCCTTGCAAGTCCCTTCATCCGAATAATGATGAATAAGTTAAACAATACTGGACCCAGTACTGACCCCGGGGACACTGCTAACTATAGTCCTCCCGATTGGCTGTGCAACTCATCACACTGAGATCCGCTATTCAGACTGTTGTTAATCCACCTCACCATCCACTTTTCCAATGCACACTTCTTGAGCTATGAGGATATCATGGAAGATAGTGTCAAAGCCCTTGCTGAAGTCCTAGTAGACAACATTCACTGCTCTTCCTTCATCCATCCAGCCAGTTGTTCCATCACTGAAGGCAATCAGATTGGTTAAGCATACACTTTGGATGAGGATGGTGTATCCATGCTGACTACTGATCCCTTTCTTATCTTCCATGTAAGATGGCCTTCAGAAGGAGCCGATCATATAATCATAGAATGGTGTGGGCTGAAAAGGACCACAGTGATCATCAGAGAAGGGCCACAAAGCTGGTGAGGGGTCTGGAGCACAGGCCTTATGAGAAGCGGCTGAAGGAGCTGTACTGTTCAGTCTGGAGAAGAGGAGGCTCAGGGGAGACCTTATTGCTCTCTGTAACTACCTGAAGGGAGGTTGTTGTGAGCTGGGGGTCAGCCTCTTCTCTCATGTAACTGGTGATAGAAGAGAATGGCTTCAAGCTGCACCAGCGGGGTTTTAGGCTGGATGTTGGGAAATACTACTATTCTGTAAGAGTGGTGAAGCACTGGAATGGGCTGCCCAGGGAGGTGGTGGAGTCACCGACTCTGGAGGTGGTCAAGAAGTGTTTAGATTTCGTGTTGAGGGACATGGTTTAGTGAGATCTATTGGTGATAGGTGGATGGTTGGACTGGATGATGATGTAGGTCTTTTCCAACCTTGGTGATTCTATGATTCTGTGATCAAGTTTCAACCCCCCTGCTACGTGTAGGGTAGCCAACCATTAGACTAGGCTGCCCTGAGCCACATCCAGCCTGGTCTTGAATGCCTCCAGGGATGGGACATCCACAACCTCTTTGGGCAACCTGTTCCAGTGCGTCACCAACCCTCTATGTGAAAAACTTCCTCCTAATGTCTAATCTAAACCTTCCCTGTCTCTAAAACCATTCCCCCTTGTCCTACCACTATCCACCCTCGTAAACAGGCGTGGATAGCAATAAGACAAAGGGGAATGGTCCGTTTCATCACCTTTCCAAGAATTTGAGATGAGGCTGACTGGCCTATAGTTCCCTAGATCCTCTTTCTTGACCTTTTTGAAGACTGGGGTGACTTCTACTTTCTTCCAGTCCGCAGGCACCTCTTCTGATTGCCATGACCTTTCAAAGATGATTGAGAATGGCCTAGTATTGATGTCCACCAGCTCCCTCAGCACTCATTAGTGCATCCCATCAAGGCCCATGGGCTTGTGAATGTCAGATTTGTGTGGATGATTTCTAACACAGTCCTCCTCAACCAGGGAAGGTGCCTCCTTTCTCCAGACTTTCTGCTGAATCTCCTAGGTCAGGGACTCCTGAGGACTGGCCATGGTGGTGAAGACTGAGGCAAGGGAAGCATTTAGTATCTCTGCTTTCTGTGTATCCTCTGTCAACAGGGTTCCTGCCCTATTCAGTAACAGAGTTAATTTTTTAACTAGTTTTTCATTCATTATTTATGTGTTTGAAAAAGCTGTTTTTGTCCTTGACATCTCTAGCCAGATTTAATTCCATATGGGCCTTGGCCTTCCTCATCACATTTTTCTCTGACAATGTCCCTGTATTCATCCCATGTAGCATGTCCCTATTTCCACTACCTATACATTTCCAGCTTATGTTTGAGCTTTGTCAGGAGTTCCATATACTCATTTAAAGCTCATTAGCTCTTTTCCCATTCCCAATGCAGTTGATTTATTACTGATTTAAAACAGTATTTTGCATATTTGAAGGCTGTTGTCGCATTTCCAGTAAGTTTTCCATACTTCAGACTAAATAAACACAATTTTTCAGTCTTTCCTGAGAAGTCATGCATTTTTAGGTCTTTGTCTTTTTTGTTTTTCTCTTCTGGAATTCTCCAACTCTTCCAGAAGTTTTAAAGGGTGTTGTCCAAAGCTGGTCACACAGCCCCTTTGAGCTTTAAAAGAGCTGAATAGGAGCCTTTTACGTTTATGGCCAAATGGAAATTCACAAAGTCCAACTGTAACGTCAAGGGAGATGAGTTCTTGTGATCACATGCAAGTTCAAATTCCATTCGTATAACTCTACTTCCCTCAGCATGCTGTCAAACAATCTTATTGAAACACAACACATAGCTAACTACTTAGCTACTTAAATGGAAAATAAATGCTTCTGTTTTGTTCAATAGTCAGGAATGTTTCTGTTGAAATAAGCATTTCAAAATGTTGATAATTAATGTGTTTTTTATTTTTTTATTTTTTTCAGACATTTCTCTTTTTGAGCTAGCAGACATCAGAATACATTTCATTCATAATACATCGTAAATCTGCATTCTGTACATCTGTATCCCATTCTCTACTTTTGTATGTTTAAGTCAATTATATCCAGTTTAGACTTGCTTCAAAACATTTGGCATAGGATGGAATCAGAGAAAGACTCCTTATAGTGTATACTAGTTTGTTCTTTGGTTTCAGAATGACATTACTGAGATCAGCAACTTCTGAGCTTGAGGTTCTTTGATCTATTGATTTTGTATATTGAATTATGTGGAGCGTATGTATAGACACAACTATAAACACTAGTTCTCCCAGTAAGAAGCATGAAATAGAGTATTCAGTGCCATTTGAGAGTGATCTTGAGATACTAGAGCTGGCTACAGAATTAGCTCTGTCGCTTTTTCTTGTATAACTTGTAATTTGAAGGCTTTATGATATAATTTGAAGAGTAAACAACTGCTCAAGTTGGTGTGAACTCAACAATTTGTTCCATGCTCAAGGAATGAATGGGGTCCACTAAAGATTACAGTGGGGTTGGTTTGATAGGTCTGTGGGATATCCAAATAAATGTTTGCATAGATTAATTTGTTTTGAAGAATAAATTTCAACAGTAAAAGATTTGTTTGTCCCTACCTATTTTCAATTCTAGTTTTTCTAAGAAATTGATATTATAAATACTGAAGTTAATGCATGGTTAGTAGTATGTATAATGACATATTTTTGGTAAGATCTACTGTTTCTCTGGCGTCTTATTTTCTGGGGGTAGTATTTTACTTGTTAAGTACTTCCAAGTTAATAGGATGTCCTGCAAATTACAGCTCATGTTTGTAAGTATGAGAAAATACTTTGCTCTTTGACTCGCCATTTCTCTCATTTGTATTTTTTTATTTTTTAAATGTGAATCCAGTGTTTATGATGAAGTCTGAAATCTTAGCCTCAGATTCTGAAATACCTTAATTAAGGGACAGGAATGCTCAGGTTGTCACATATCTCATGCTTACATTGGCATTCCTCAACCTGTATTTAAAGGGGCTACCTTTGTGAATAGAAAACAACTTCAGTTTCTTCAGCTGACCAGCCAGGGCTGGGAGTGGTGCTCAGAGAATTTTTGATTAAAGCCCTGCTCGTCTTAGGACAAACTAAATACCTGTTTTAGCCATCCAGAACTTGCACTGAAAAGTTGCTTAGTGGTCAGTTTCAGAACTGTTTTCCTTGTGTTTGTGTCCATAGTTACAAATGTTTGCATGTAACATCAGATACAAACATGACCTTCAGAAATTGCCTTCATTTCCAAAATCATATTTTGCTGGAAGAATCTGTGCACTCAAATATGCTGTGTTTGCACTCTGCAGTTTGAAACACACACAGCCAGCACAGTCCAATGAACCGTGAAGGAGGCTGAAGGTTTGAACCTAGCTCTAAGAAATGACCATTAGCAGATTACACTGTTTGATTGCTTATGTTAAAATATATTAAAAATGTGACACTTAAGGATTACACACAAAGGATTTTCTCAAAATTGCAGGAAAAATAGTGTTGTTGGTTGGGGTTTTTTTTATTTTTATTTTTTTAAACTGGACATCTGGCACTTCCAGATGATGTCATCTTATTCAGAAGCGTTGGCCGGATAAGTAGTAAATGGTTGACTTAATTTATACTGTAGTCTGGTTGTTCTGTCATGAATAGAAACTAAAGCTACTGAAAAAATATTTAGTTTGCTTTCTTGCTTTGAAATACCAAAGAATAAAGGTAACTAATAGAAGGGGTCTTTATGTTTCAGGCAAATTTCATAGATTTTTACAAGAAAATTTTGAGAGATTTTAAGTTGATCTTTTGCCACCTTGAATTCCCTGTTTTTTCATATGTAAAACTCATACATCCTATATTTTCTTGTGTAAATATTTTGTGCAGGACTTGTGCCCCTAGGTATTTCTAAACAATTAGAAATAGCTGCAAGTGTTTATTTTCAGTATTTAAAAAAAAAAAAAAATTCCTATGATTTTTTCTTTAAAATGTTTGATGCAGACATTAGGAAGCAAAAATGCTATTGGTTGTTTGGAGGTTATTGATGGGCTAGTCTAATAGTTCAATGGTTTTGCTTTCCAGTAGTGGTATCCTTCCCTTACCTATAGCCAGCAGATATGATGGCATTTGATAAGTATCTGAAAACTGGTTTCACAACCTGTAATTTTATGTCTGCTTGGATAGAAAATAATTGAATTTGATCCCTTTAAACTTATTTACAATTTGATAGATGGCTGTAAATGCCCATTGTCCCCTATAATTATGAAAATTGGTTGAAGTTCAGTAGTTCCATTGCCTTGATACGCTCTTCCTTTCGTCCCCCACTTCCCAGTGCTTCCCCCCACCTCCAGTTAGGAGTTAACGGAGTAGCACTAGGAAGAAAGCTGCATCTCTTTGTTCCTGACTGTGTTTTGTGTAGCTTTAATGAGAGAAAGAAGCCATAATTTCCAGCCTGGTCTGTCTGCATTCCCCCAGGAAGGCATCAGACAGAATATGATGTCTGAATTCAGAAATTTCAAGGCCAGGAGACATTGTTATGACTATCCACTAGAAAGCAGTATTTGTATGCAAAATTCCCAGTGTTTGCCATCTTTCTTGCTTTATCTGACACAGAGAATAATAGAAGAAAATACAAAATGAAATGCTCCAAATGTGGGATAGAATTTTCAATTATGATCTTTCAGCTTTCAATTATTCTTAAAATGCTTCATAGAAAATGTTTTGCTAAAATCATTGTCATCATTTTTCACTATAAATGACTGTTTCATCAATGAATTCCACAAAAGAATGGGTTATAATTTAACCTGTTTTAAGAGAGGAACTAACTAAATAAATACTAAATGAAGTTTAATACAAATATGGATATTATACAGATGGAATATCTGCCTGTAACACATTTTATTTTGTATTTAGTTATATAATACGTACATAAAGTGGGTATGATAAATAAAAGTTGATTAATTTTCAAATTAGCATAATTAAAATTAAAACTAATCAGCATAAACATATTTGAATATTTCTCATTATGTAAGAGTATTATATTGTCCCCAGAAACTGAGGTTGAGAATAGGCTGAAGCAAATTGTGCTATAAATTTTATGTTTCATATGAAGACAGCAAGAATTTGTAGAGATGCAACATAAAATAATTTGGTGTGTGAATAATCATTCATATATGCAGTTGCTAAAGAAAGAAAAACCTTTGCTACTGAAGGGTGTTTTTCTGGAACATTTTAAACGCTTTTTAGTGTTCGATCTGTTGTAATACTTATATTCATTGTATTTTAGATATCTGATATCCATGTTACTGGAGAGTCAGAGGACATGTCTGCTAAAGAGAGATTGCTCCTGTGGTCACAGCAGACAACTGAGGGTTATGCTGGAATCCGTTGTGAAAATTTCACTACCTGCTGGCGAGATGGAAGATTATTTAATGCCATCATTCATAAATACAGGTAAGTACTCTGTTCTCTTGAGAAATATCAATTACGGCATTGTAATGTGCATGGAGAGACTCTGTGGTTATCTTGCCTATAAATAGCACTGCAGCTGTAGAGATGACACTAGCTCTTTCTGGGCAGTCCTTTGCTTCTTGGAGACATAAGATGCCTTATTAGCCCTTTCGTGTCCCTCATTCCTCAGAGGAGAGACCCCATGAAACCTGCACATCCTTCAAGGGTCACCTCCAAGCTGTTGAGAAGAGTGCACCTGAAGTTCTAGTTCCCTGTCTTCTTCATATTCCCTTTGGTCATACATCAGTGTACAGGCAGGGTCAAGTCAGAGCTAAACTGTGCTCTCTAAATCTGCAGTCCAAATCTGCACTGCTGATTATGTCCCTCAACTACTGCATTACCTGAGATATGCCTTAATTCCCCACATTCTTCCCTGTTTGACTTCACTGATTCTCTGGAACTGAGAACTTCTGCAGTTTCTCTGCTTGGAGCTGAGATGTACTCTGTGCCTTCTGGAAGACCACAGGGCATTCTCATGGAAAATGAGACCAGTTCACTGGAGCGTTCCCAGAATTAGGAGGGCACTGTTCTTGCTCTCTCTTTCTATGTTTTTGTGACCACACAGTTTAGCACTGATAAAACCATTGATGACTTCAGGATACACTAGATTTACTTACTACTTGAAGATGTCTGCTGATGAGATCTAGTCTAATTCTAGATTGTAATTAAGAACAGGGGTCTCTTGATAAAATTGACTTTGGCATCAGAGCTCAGCAGACGAACAAGATTGAAGATCAGCACTTTGCTCAACCTTGCCTATTGTTTGATGTCTCTCTGTATTTTATTGCTCCTATCTTGAATATGGAGGTTTGGAGGTTTGTTTTTTATGGAACTACACAGAGAGAAGAGTCTTCTTGCCATTGGGCTAATTAGAGAGAACTGACTTGTCTCTCACTTACAAGGCTTGCAAATTCTAGATTATATTACAGCACGAGTGCAGAGCTTATGTAGTATGCTTTGAGGTATATCATGAGGAAGTTTGAAGGTATGTGATTTTCTTGGTATAATACTGAAGGAAGAGTCCTAAATAAGGCATATTAAATTTGTCCCTTTCTATGCAGATCATCTGTTTTTGGGGGGATTTCCTCTTATGAAACCACTTATCACAGAAAGAAATCTGGGAAGAAGCAAGCATGCATGCAGTACAGGGACTAGAACAGTGAAGTGAAATGGGAGACAAATGAGTCAGGCAGATACGTTCAGCTCCTCAAGCAGTGCATAGAAAGGCCGTAACCATGAAAGATGCTCTGAGTCCCAGAGAAGATAGCTGTGACAGTTCATAACTTTAAGGCAACATGAAGTTGCATCTGAATCAATGAATTGTTTTTCTGACTAATGCTTCTGTACTGGATAGCCAGTGAGGGGGGAGGTGCATGCCAACAAGAAAGTCTTCTTTAGTAAGGTTGGCAAGGCAAAGGGAAATAACTGGCAAAGGACTGGGCTGTTTTGTTGTTGTTGTTGGTTTTTTACTTCAGGACAGAACAGCTAAAAAAATTAAAACAGCACAGATGAAAATTTGAAAAAAATGAACCATTTGAAAGACACAAAAGGAGAGGGAGGGAAAAAAAAAGAAAAGAACATATAAGATGAAATAATACAAAATATTTCTTAGATCTTTTTCAGAGGCTTGTGCCAGGTCTTCTTTTGGTGAACAGCATGGTCCTTACATCTTAGCAACTTGTAGTTGTTGTACAGATCAGTTAAAAACTAGAATTCTGTCCTCTGGCTGTGCAATTGTTAATGTTCTGGGGTATTACTAACTACCTGCAGTTGCTCTGTTAAAGTGCTGTTTTTGGCAGTGCTCTGACAGTTTCATTCATGGCTTTTTGGCTAGGAAACAGGCACCTATGACATGAGTGCTTTGCATAAAGCAGATAATTCAATGGCTGAGGTTCACTGTCTCCTGAGTAAGTGCAGAGTTCCCCTTTTATGTGCTTCTATGCCTGTTTCCATTTAGCTCATCCTGTTCCTGTAAACATACATGTTTAAAGTCTTTATCTGATGTTTTTCTGCTCTGAGAGGTCATAGTTCTTGAGCTCCGTCACCTCACTGATGAAATCAATGAAATTCTTCCACTGATTTCATTGAGCTTCTATGTTTGTTTTTTTTTTCCTTTTCAATTTTGTGCCATTTAAATAGAGATAATAATTTCCAGCTATTGCTCACAAGATTGGAACGGTCTTTCCAAACAGTTGCCTGATATTTTTAACTACAGTGTTTTATTCCAGAGAACAAAAATAAACTTAGCTTATGCTCATATTGGTAAGTAGGTTAAATACTAACAGAATGCACATATTTCTGACCATGGCTCTCCATATGCTCAGTTTGTCTGTTATAGTAGTTCCCAGACTCCATTCTGCAGAGCAGAGGTGTTCTCAGAAGTTAGGCTGTATGTCTGCAAATGCTGCTGGCTGGCATGCTCCAGGGCAGAGAAGCTCCAGACACCAGCATGTGCTGCGGACTGTGCAGCTGGAAAGCAGTCTGGCAGAAAATGACCCAGGAGTCCTGGTGGACACAATCTTGAATGTGAGCCAGCAGCAGGCCTTGCAGCGGTGAAGGCTAATGGTGTCCTGGTCTGCTTTAGGCAGCATTGCCAGCAAGTTAAGTGAGGTGATTTCTCCCCTTTACGCAGTACTGGTGAGGCCACAGTGCTGGGCTTCCCTGTACAAGAGAGTCATGGGCATACTTGAGAGAGATGTGTGAAGGGTCACAAAAGTGATTAAGAGGCTAAAGCAACTCCCCTGTGAGGAAAGGATGAGAGATCTGGGACTGTTCAGCTTAGAGGAGGCTCAGGGGCATCTTATCAATGTCTACAAATAGCTGAAGGGAGGGTGCACAGCTAGGCTCTTTTCAGTGGTGCCCAGTGACAAGTGGCAGTAGGCACAAACTGAAACAAGAGGTGCTGTCTGACCATCAGGAAACACTTCTGTGCTGTGGGGTGGCTGAGCATTGGCACAGGTTGCCTAGAGGCTATAGAGTCTCCTACTTGGAGATGTCCAAAAGCTGCACCTTGTTCTGGGTAACCTGCTTGGGCACAGGAGGTTTGGACAGGATGACCTTTTGAGCTCCCTTCTATCCTTATCTGTGCTGTGATTTTCTGGCCCAGACGGTGGTGTGGATGTGGTGTGGCCACCTCAGAGCATGCCTGTGGGTGTGGAGTGCTCTGAGGAGCACGTGTGCCAGTCACAGTGCAACGTGGCAACTCCTCCTGTGCCAGGTATGCTGTGCTCATCAGAGATGCCTTTGCTTTATGAAAATACCACACAGCTGCCCCACCCTGGGCCAGGAGGAATGCCAGCTTACTGCAAGAACTGAATGAATAAACAGGGATAGGGCTCCTCAACAGGAATACAGCTGCCAGCCAGTCACAGAGTCACTGAATCACCAAAGGTGGAAAAGACCTCCAAGATAATCCGGTATAGCCATCTACCTACCATCAATATTTCCCCACTAAACCATGCCCCCAGTACCACATTCAAACATATTTTTGAACACAAAGTTGTGCTCACAGCCCTGACACCATGGCCGATGTCTTTCCTGGATGTGCTGTTCAGAGCATGAACTATGTGGGTCCAGTATGATCCTGCAAGTGGCTAGGAGATGTCACTGTCTAGCTCTAGACAACAGGGTATTGGAATAGCAGATTATAATTATTAATGAATGTATGCATGAGTTTCCAGTGAGTTTGCAATCTTCTTTAAATAATAAGAAAATAATGATATGAATGACAGAAATGAGGGGAAAAATGTTTTTATGTGAGATATTTGGTCTGTAATATAGCTAATATGTGATTTGTGTAAGAAGGTTGCTCGTGTTTTCAGAATGTTCCAGCAGTCTGTGCTTATAGGGTAAGATGGAAGATTGCTCTTCTGAACTTCCAAAGAGTATGTAAAACCTCAATTTTAAAACATTCTGTAAGTGATTACAGAATGTTTACGTTACATTTGGATTTTGTGTTGAGGGACATGGTTTAGTGAGTAGTATTGGTGACAGCTGATGGTTGGACTGGATGATGAAGGCCTTTCCCAACCTTGGTGATTCTGCGATTAAATGCCTGGGAAATTAATTGGGCTCCATGCCAGCTTCAAGAGCTGGCTCTGAGAGCTCTGCTAAGGCCCTCAATTTTGCTTTTCATAGTTATGCCGTGAGAATATTTGTTTTTATGCGGACAGAACAAATCTGTCAACTTTAAAAGTCAGTTTTATTACTGGACTTTATGATGCTTGTTAATTACACAGTTTTATTTAAATATATCAGTTTTCAGACTGTTATTGAACTCCGCATCATTCTTTGAATGTATGATCAAGTCCATTATGAAGGGTTACACATAAGCCCAGCTTAATTTTTCACTTAAGACATGTTATTTGCTTCAGCGTGTTGTGTTGGAAGAAATGTGACTTCAGGCAGTTTAAAAAGTACATGTTGTTTCTTTCATGACATGATATCATACATAGCAAAAACCTGTAAGCCAGACTTCAAAGTTGGAGACTGACTTTAATCAGCTCATAATGCCCAGGTTTTCCCAGAGATATTGCCACATGCATGCCTGGGTCTTAGTCTTGCATCTCTAGACAGTAGACTGTACTTCAGGTGAATGTGCTTGATTTGTGTTTCCATTTTCTTATGTATGTGCTTTTCTCCCAGGAAGAAGAAATGCTCATTTTGTAGAACTGTGTACTGCTGATAAAATGAATAGAAACAGTTGATATCTACAGATAATGAATGCTACTCCTATTTCATTAAGAGTTGTATACGAGATTGGAGCTAATAGTCTTAATTACAGATCTACATTACACTTCAAAGACACATTTGTTTTAAAACAAAGGACTTTCTAATGAAAAATTACCAAGAGTGACATCAAAGTAATAAGCTGCTTGTTCTTTTTTTTTTTTCAACCTCAAACATACCTGAGCTGCACAAGAAATGCAGACAATTTCAGTTAA